GTCAGGACTATACGGCGGATGCATTAACACCTCCCAGCCAAGCTCTCTTAATTTTTGCTGAGTGGCTAAAGATGTGTGAGGTCTAGCGTTATCATGATCACATCAAAATTTCCCGATTGAAAACGCTTAAACCAAATTCGTGCTACTCCCACAGACATTGCACTATATAGGTGCATAAACATCAGAATTTTTTTTCGCGGCTTGCGTTGCATTTTTGCCTTTTCTGTAGAAAAATTTTAAAATGTATCGATGTACTTCATTAGATATTCTACTTGACAGTACGAAAAATAAATAAAAATCACACATTTTCCTAATTTGAATTTGGAATTATCTTCTTTAAAATTTAAACTTTTAAGGATACCAAAACCAGCCAGATACAAATAGTACAGCCAAAGAGATTCTATTACAAGTTTATACATACTATAATGCGAAAAGACTTTTTTCCCAACCTATTATATCCATCCGTCAATAAAATATGTACAATAATAATTGACAGCTAGTAGTACCCCACTCATTCATTTTTCTCATAAAATGATTTATTATTAATAATTATGAGCCTGTTAAGGTGGTTAAGGACAGGTGTCAAATACAGCCTAACTGCCAAAAACCGATGCCATCGCCCATGGACAACGTCAAACTCAAGGGTCCAGTCGCGCTACTACTTACCCGTACTCTGAACCTACTCTATACACAAGTACAATTACAAGAATTACCATACAATTGTAACTTCGATCTCATTTCTCAGGATAGGCATATACGACGTGGAATCAGTGGGCTCCGCTAAGCAGTAGGTGGGTCGTGAACACGTCCACCTGTGTAGTGTAATAAAAAAAAAAAGTTGTGCTGTTTTATTTGTCATCTTGAAATTAATTTTACTTTATTAAATTACAGAGCGCCTGATACTTTTTAAAAGCAAAACACATAAACGCCTAAAATGTAGTTTTTATATATATTTTACAGACAATTAATTTTAAATCTACCAATTTAAAAGCGGCCTTTAAAGGATAATATGCCAATGATTAAAGCCTAATGAAAAATGTAATAATGCTTGTTTTAGTAATATTCCAAAAATACATTCATCGCTGCCTAAATCTGCCGCGGTGTAATAGTAATTTATTCATTGGGTTAGTCATTCTCACACCAAAAGCAAATAATCAGGTAACTAAAAAATTAAAATATATTTTTGATACTTTAATACATTACAATCACAAGTTTTGTTACCATTATCATAAAATTAAAAGTGATTGCCACAGAATGTACAAAGAAATGTGGATGGTTAAAAACATTAATTAATACAAAATTATGACTCCTCTTGCAATTGAAAATTTTTTTTGCACTAGATAACATGAATACATACATCCTACATAACATCAACAATGAAAAGCTTATGATAAAACATTAGGTTATTATTCCCGAGTGCTAAATACCTATTAAAAAAAACATATTTCAGAACAACGAACATCTTAATATTACGAATGATTTGATACGTAATTATCATAAAACACGTTCCGATGTACTGCGTCAGTAAAATTGTTATATCTAATGCTTATATTTTTATCGGCCGTGATTAAATCATTACTCACATTTAGATAACGTAAATTGATTCGACACGCTTTGAGCTTTTTCTGGTTCATCGATCGAATTACGTTAACCTACTATTAGTTTTACTAAGTAAATTTATTCAGGATAACTTTTTATATCTTACAAAGCCTTTTGAACCTATCCCTTGATGTCTGTTCGAAATAATTCAAAAGTGGACCATATGATCGAATGTCTATCCTTAGAGCTTTTTAAATTGCTATCGGTAGTATATTATATTTGTGTGATCATTTTCAAGAAGATATACCCCTATATAATTAACTATATATAGGCTAGAGGCCGAGACGCTCAGAAAGAGTCTAGAAATTACAGCCGAGCCCAAATAAAGGTAATTTAAGCAAAATACCACCTTATGGATTTGATTTGAAATTTGTCATTGATCTCGTTACATGTTATATGAGCAATGTCTAAAACTAACAGCCCACGTTTACTTTTATTAACGTGATGTTTTTCTTTACACTATTGCTACATCCCAAATATCCTTAATACTGACATCACTCCCAACGCAGTTCACCTACTTTAATGACTACTTTAATGTATAATGAACTTAATAACTCTTTATTTTAGGATTGAAATCGAACTCGTAAACTTTTCCGTCATCATTGATAATTTTGTGACCTCCGCTTTTGTCGGTCTTCTGTCCGTTGATGTCAGACGATGAATGGAATGTGTACTCGGATTCACCGTACACATGGCCTCCGGGTATTGGCTTCAAGCTTTTGACACTGCCCGCTGACACTGGCTGTAAATATAAATGATCGTTCTATATTTAACTGTCTTGAGCTAGAATTTTGCTCCAGCGTTACTGATAGCGGAAAACACACAAGAGAGAAAACAAACTTGCAATTTTCACGCAGTACAGATATTTTGTGTTTATGTCATTATATCGCAAGCCTCATTATGTTTGAAGTTGTCGTGGCTTGAAGGGTAAAACGCCCGGTGCATACGTATCAAGCGATGTGACTGTGCCAGTGTTCGAATCCCGCAAAGAGGTACAAATATTTCTAATGAAATACGTACTTCGCCGATGTTCAATTAAAAGGTGAAGGAATAACCACATGTAATAAGAATCAAATCCGCAAAAATATTAATTTGCGTAATTGGGGTAGCCTTAGTACTGTAAAAACGGAAGTTAATCTAGTCGAATGGTTGGCTCCCGTATATTCCTCGCACTTGTGACGCCAGTGACACAATACCACTTTTTTTTTCCTACCTATGCTGAGATAGCCTTGAGAGGCTATTTCAGCTTCACCTTGACGGTGAGCTCACGGGGCTCATACCGGGAGTGTTGCTAGCACTGGCCCTAGCAAGAGCAGTGTTTCGCAGAATCTATCACCGGATCGGAAACGCGACCCACTGAGAAGATCCGGCGAGAAACTCAGTGGGCTGTGTCTGTGGGTTAAAAGTACCACGACGCCAACCACAAATAGACCACAGCTACAATTATTGAGTACTCTTTCTATTCTTGTACTTTGTTTGTTTATTGACTATACAGTCCTATATTTACATGTGGAATCATGTCGCCCTTCGAAATGTACAAGGAGACGTACCGGATTTCTACTTTAAAAAAATTATCTAAATTCAATTCTACTCACTTTCCAACTATCGTTGTCGTTGAGTTTACTGTTAATTCTGTAAAAAAAATCAAAGCTAGATTATTTTATATGTAACAAATAAAACTGATTACAATATCGTATTTTTGTAAGCTGTCAACCTTAAGATTGAGAATTACTGTCTTTACTTTACCCCTTTGCCATACCTCAATTCAGTAGTTCTTGTAATGGGACCTCATGTCTCAAAGTAGCCTTCATATTGCGCTGTTTATGGACTCTGGTAAGTCTTTAAGACACCGTTTTAAAGTCATTTTATAGTACGTTCAACGGCTTTAATATTAAACTGAAGCTCGCAATACAATTTTATTTGCGCGCTGTATCTTCGGATACTATGCGCAATTTCTGGAACGCCAATCGGCCTCCGGATGAGGCATCGCGAGAGGAAGAGGGTCGGTTACACATTTCGTAGGGGATCGAACCCTATGGCCTAACAGGCGATGGATTGAAAGGCCCAGGGAAGGCGCAAGCTTCTTAAGCAAATGTGGTTGCGCACAAGGCAAGTTGAGGCAGAAAATCAATGAGTGAATTTTAACGTAAGGATCTATAGCTATGCAGAAGCACTGTGGATGTCCTTTGCTACTTCAGAGGGCCATAAGAACTTGGTATACGATACATGCGTGCCTGAGGTTGACTGAATTCTTAGGGCTTACATCGAATATACAAATGAATGAAGGAAATTCTTTAATACTAGCGACCCGCCCTCGCTTCGCTTCGGAAACATTAAAACACACATGAAACCAAAAAAAAAAAAAAAAAAGTAGCAAATGTTCATCAGGGACAATGTCGGCTTCTAATGGAAAAATAATTTTTCAAATCGGTCCAGTAGTTTCGGAGCCTATTCGAAACAAACAAACAAACAAATCTTTCCTCTTTATAATATTAGTATAAATATAGATAGCGACCCGCCCTCGCTTCGCTTCGGAAACATTAAAACACACATGAAACCAAAAAAATAAATAAAAAAAAAGTAGCCTATGTTCATCAGGGACAATGTCGGCTTCTAATGGAAAAATATTTTTTCAAATCGGTCCAGTAGTTTCGGAGCCTATTCGAAACAAACAAACAAATCTTTCCTCTTTATAATATTAAGTATAGATAGCGACCCGCCCTCGCTTCGCTTCGGAAACATTAAAACACACATGAAACCAAAAAAATAAATTNAGAACTTGTGTTACAGGTACCAGATAACGGAAATAAATGTAAGATTTTTATTATACACATACATATATTTAATATACATCCATAACCCTGGAAAAGACATTTATATTTATCATACAAATATCTTCCCTTGGCGGGATTCGAACCCGCGACCCCCTTGTGTAGTGACCATGTCACTTACCACTACACCAGACGGCCGTTGTTTTCGTTTTGCAAAACGCTAACAACCAAAAGCCTGTATAAAGAAATAATTCCCGCATTCAAGGCCTTGATTAATTTTTAAAATGGGACAAATCTAAGAATTTTACGCTAACCAGCAAAAAAAAAACCAGCAAAATCCTTCGTGTAAGATCGTTAATTGAAAATGTATTAGTGTTATGACAGATGGGATTAGCTATTTTTAATTCACCTTCCACAATAAAGGATCAAGTTACAAGAGAACAAAAGCAATATAATATCAATTACAAATTAATTTTCCCACATACCCTTAAAGTTATAACATTCTTTTGTGTGTAAATTGTATCTATTCCCCATTCTGTTTGAGTATCGTATGAATGAAAGGACGTCACAATACTACAACTAGTGGGTTCAGTGAGGCGTAAGTTTCTCTTGATTGCGGTCACTGATAACATAAACACATTTTAGGAGCCCAACATCCAACCTCCGGTAAGGGCGGGGTGATGTCGTGACTCCTCCCAGTATTGTGCAACAAATTTAGGGTAGAATTTCTGAATCCCGGTCATTTGTTGTTCGGACCAGTAACAACGCCATGGATCCATCGTCAGTTCAGTCCACTTCTAAGTGTAATTCTGACTTTAGCATTGAAAGAATCTTGAGTGATGATTCAAAAAATAAAGAAGACAAGAAAGTTCCGGATTGGTTATGCTGTACCCGGTATAGACCACCGCGTTTGCCACGTTAGTGATTTTAGAAAATTACTGATTTATTCAGTGTGTGTTATATATTTATTTAAAGACTGTATTGACGATCAATGTCTTTAAATAAATTTTAATTAAATGTGGCGCGATATAAAATATTTTCATTTAACCGTATAATGGATTAAAAGTACGAAAAAAAAGACGATGCATATCCAATTTGCAACTTCCAATGCATATACTTGAACTTAATTTTACCTCTTCGCTCGTCGTTTGCATCGATAGTTTATTAATTGATTCACTTGCTTCTGATTTGAATATTTTTAGTAAATTAGTGTCAAGCAGACCCAAGAGCCAACGGGCCAGACGGGGCCAAGGTTTACAAAAAAAAGAATAAAAGTCCGACACTAAATAAATTTCCTGTTCTAGACAGGTGAAATAGGTTACTACACGCATGAAGTGATTATACAAATTTTCTATACAAATCGTTTGTCAAACCTCGAGTGGAACATTGCTCTAAGATCTGGGCCGGACCTCTTAAATACCATTTTTAAGTAGGGGATTCCAATCGGGAATTCCGATTGTCTTGAAGTCTTTCGATATGCGAATGGACTTTTAGGCCTCTAAGTATATTTCACAAAAAAATGGGAGCATGGGAAGTGCTATAAGACTGTATCTATCTATAAGACTATAGATATCTGTCTCTGCTCATCAGAGCATTTAAATTTTTTGTTCGTATTTCACCTTCTAGAAGCGTTGACAAGAAGTTCATTCTAGGAGCCTTTTCCATTACGAACAGTTGTTTTCCAGATGTCGTTTCTATCTTATACTGTCTTCATAGGAATATACTTTCCTAGTGTTCACTCAGTGCTATGTCATGTCCAGCTCTCGGCATTTAAAGAAAATTTTGCTTAATCATTCAGGAAAATGGCGAAATGTTTTTGTTTTGCACGACATAACAATATTCAATTTTATTATTCGATTACAGAACAATATAGAGGTGATTGCTTTTCTTGTAGGTACTTTAAATTTCTGAATGTTTGTTCGTATTTTGTAGGTGCCGTGAACAGTGGTTGCAGGTCACGTAGATCAGGACGTCACGCGCGGGTCCCCTTCACAGCGACGCAGGCGGCCGCGCTGGAGGCCGCATACTCTCGCGCTGCGTACCTCGCACCACCGGCACTGAGGGCTCTCGCTGCGGCCTTACAGCTACGCGACGACAGGGTCAGTTTTTACTAAATATGCAGCCGACTTTTATAATTTCATTGAAGGTTTAACTAATTCACTTTTAGCAGTGATGCAGACAATATATGTTTGATTTGCCACGATGAGGACTGCCAGTACGAACTGCTATAATGAACAATAAGGAAATAGAAAACGATCAATCGTGCCCAAGGGGCCGATACTTAGGTACATAGGACCTCTTGTGAGTCCGCACGGGTAGGTACCACCACCCTGCCTATTTCTGCCGTGAAGCAGTAATGCCTTTCGGTTTGAAGGGTGGGGCAGCCGTTGTAACTATACGGAGATCTTAGAATTCATATCTCAAGGTAGGTAGCGCATTTACGTTGTAGATGTCTATGGGCTCCAGTAACCACTAAACACCAGGTGGGCTGTGAGCTCGTCCTCCCACCTAACCAATAAATAAAAAAAGAAAAAAACTTTTCCGGAAGTACCGCTAGCGGCGCCTGGGCGGCTAGTCTAGCTGCCCACCATAAGAGACCTTCGTTGTTGAGTAGATTTATCCCTGTACTTTTTCCGGGTACAGTCCTAGGCGAGGCTTGGATTCTCTACCTAATGGCGCGAGTAGTCATTTAGTAGATCTTTCTTCCGCCTTAGTCAATCTCCGATGACTCCTGCTTCGGTAGACGATAATCCCACATACCTACTTCACGTGCGGGGATCTTGTACATTATTATATAAAAATCGGTTCCTTCGCAGAATCGAAGCATGATGTAATGGTATTCCTACACCAGGCATACTATGTATTAAGCCACGGGCGCTTAACATAATGATGAGTGTATTGTAATCATTCACAGATTAAAATCTGGTTCCAAAATCGTCGTGCTCGTGAACGCAGAGAGAAGTGTGCGAACATTAGGCCACCAGTCGCTGTCACACTACCACCTACGTCTACATCTCGAACCGGCCTTATAAACAATTCGGTATGGTTTCAACAACATAACTTTGGAGTATCCTCAACGAAAGCTTTAATGATGGCACAAAATGAGGCAAATGTAACTAGAAATATAATTATAGAAGCAAATGGAATGTTAACGTGTGGAACAGACTCGGAGTCTTTTGGCGAAATTGAAAAATCGGAATCTCCATTAGATGTCGAAACTGTGGAACATTGAGATGATAACTATTCGTGTGCTGATGTGAACTAGAATAATATGAACATTGAGTGACCTATTAGTGTGTATAACCACTTTTGTCTGTGAATTAATATGGGCACGACAGGGTACGATAATATTTATAAACAAAAAAGAAACATTACCTCATAATGTATTTTAGTAGTAAAAATTTAGACTAAATGTATAATTTAAAGATGTTTGTTCTTAGAAATAAACGATTAAATCCTGTGATATATAGAATGAAGTGTTTTTTGTGTGCTAATAGACTATTATCATTTTCTTTTTAATTAAAATATAACAGTGACCGACTAACAACTATGGAGGGGAGAGGTAAAGAGCATTCTCCAAGTTTTTTTTTTATTGCTTAGATGGGTGGACGAGCTCACAGCCCACTTGGTGTTAAGTGGTTACTGGAGCCCATAGACATCTATAATGTCAATGCGCCACCCACCTTGAGATATCAGTTCTAAGGTCTCGGTATAGTTACAACGGCTGCCCCACCCTTCAAGCCGAAACGCATTACTGCTTCACGGCAGAAATAGGCAGGGTGGTGGTCCTATCCGCGCGGACTCACAAGAGGTCCTACCACCAGAAAAGTATGAAACAGTGTCCGTCGAAGAACCACCAAATAAGGTAGCATCACCGTAACAAGTGGTGTAATTTTAAAAATATGTAGTCCCAAAAGTTCTTAAATTAAAATTTTGAACTCGTCGCATTTCAATCCCTTAACACTGCCACTTTCATATTATACTACTTGCTACGCTAGTGCTATTTCGGTGTGGGATTTTGAGTTGTAGATTGCTGCTTCCAGCTGGACACTTTTTCAACTTGTCTCCTATTGTATTGTAATATTGGGACTCCTTATCTCTAGATACCTTACTTCATACAGACGTACAGCTTAACTTGTCATACTGGCTTTTCTGTAAATTAGCACCTCCCGCTTAAAGAAAGCTATAAATTAGTTTATTTATGGCATGGACCAGTGAATGACTTTTCGGCTCACCTGATTTTAAGTGCTTATCAGAGTCCCTAGACATCACTACGCGAAACGTCATCTTGAGACATGAGCTCTAAGTCTCAGTTGTATAACGGAGGGTTCATCTTTCAATCCGGAACGCATGACTGCATCACGAAACAAATAGTCAAGACAAACTTTTTTTCCCGAACTATTCGCTGGTAGCCTAAGGGGCCATTTCAGCCGGAACGGGTAGGTGAGCTCACGGGCTCAACCTGAGAGAATTTGCTAACACTAGCCCTAGAAAGAGAAGTGCTTCGCTGAATCCACCGGATCGGATTCGCAACCCCCTGAGAAGATCCGGCGAGAAACTCAGTGGGAGTTCACCAGTTTTTTTCTTGTAGGCATACTTTCGTTTCATTTTCAAAGATAAAAAGACTAGGCGCTTTGTAATGATGGTCTGTGTTGGAATTTTGAAGTCATCATGGCCTAAAGGATAAGACGTCCGGCGCATTTGTGTTGAAGCGATGCACCGATGTTCGAATCCCGCAGGCGGGTACCAATTTTTCTAATGAAATACGTACTCAACAAATGTACACGATTGACTTCCACGGTGAAGGAATAACATCGTGTAATAAAAATCAAATCCGCAAAATTATAATTATAATATAGATAGCTGTACGGACGCCGCGCTGGCGAGTGAACTGGTGGTAGGACCTCTTTTGAGTCCGCGCGGGTAGGTACCACCACCCTGCCTATTTCTGCCGTGAAGCAGTTTCGGTTTGAAGGGTAGGGCAGTCGTTGTAACTATACTTGAGACCTTAGAACTTATATCTCGAGGTGGGTGGCGTATTTACGTTGTAGATGTCAATGGGATCCAGTAACAACTTAACACCCGGTGGGCTGTGAGCTCGTCCACCCACATAAGCAATAAAAAAATAATTTTATTAAGTAAGTAATGGCAGGCAACAATTGTCACATGTGAATTAACAGTTTTCGAATATTGGAATGTTTATTTAAATGTTTAAAACAGATGATTGTTTTCTCTTCAGTCATCACTAGGACTTCTCATCTAGATACGGACAGCGAAACATCTTAGGGTTTTATAAAAATAAAATATTGTAATAGTGTACAAAGTGTTTGTAATATATATAAACCATGAAGCAGAGTGTTTTAAAATAGCCACTCACTTCCAGAACCCAATCCCCTCAAATAGAACCGTCCAACAGTCTAGCTATTCATATGACGATACGTGTATGCAACCTCGGCCAATCAGAGTCCTTGTAATGTCGGTAATTACTTCATCATTTCCGTCTGTAGTAACGTCCTCGTTTTCGTCTTATAATTTTCTGTAATTATAATTCGTATCCTTCTCAATCTTCTAGTAGCAAAAGTCATATCGTGTCTTGCCAAGAAAATCTTTAAGCAAGTGGCTTCTAAACTTTTCTGTGCGTTTATGAAAAACACCATGTAAAAATTTTGTTATGGCATCTTTTCTTGATAATATGATTTGTAGGAGACACAGTATAGCAGTAGCAAAACATTTTATATTTTAGTGATAACCTAACTATTTTTTATTTATTCTGAACTACCTTTGCTTGACCGGTAGCGAAAGGCCCTAGGCATAGGTTTCATACTTCAGTGCTTATGCATTAAGTCCGCCATTTGAAATATTACATGAAGTGTAATAAAATACTAAAAAAATAAAGGTTTTATTCTAGCTGTAGTAAATTATTGATTTAAGATTCATTGTTCCTCACGACGATACGAAAGAATGTTTCTTCAGAATTCACTTTTTGCAAAATTGGCACTGCACTGGAATAACTGCACTGTTCATTTTTATAAAACTTACTTGGTACCTTTTTTGAGACCGAGGGTCGAACCTCTTACAAGGGCCCCGCGTGTTTGTGGGACTGGACGGTCCGCAGAGGTCGGGAGTGAACCGCGGGCCCAAGGGATAACCAACTTGAAGTCGTCGTGGCCTAACGGATAAGACGTCCGGTGCATTCTTATCTAGCGATGCAACGGTGTTCGAATCCCGCAGGCGGGTACCAATTTTTCTAATGAAATACGCACTTAACAAATGTTCACGATTGACTTCCACGGTGAAGGAATAACATCGTGTAATGAAAATCAAACCAGCAAAATAATTATTTTGCGTAATTATTGGTTGTAGGCCCTCTTGCGAGTCCGGACGGCTAGGTACCACCACCCCGCCTATTTCTGCCGTAAAGCAGTAATGCGTTTCGGTTTGAAGTGAGGGTCAGCCGTTGTAACTGTACTGAGACCTTAGAGCTTATATCTCAAGGTGAGTGGCGCAATTACGTTGTAGATGTCTATGGGTTCCAGTAACTACTTAATACTAGGTGGGCTGTGAGATCGTCCACCCACGCAAGCAAATAAAAAAAAATTGGTACCTAATCCAAGAGATAAATTCAGTTAATTTAAAATAAATGTTTCTGCTGTTATTTCTGTCCAGCCTCATCCAAATATGCATTTATTTATGTCGTGGATGATGACGTTTCACTATTTTAAAGAAACCAAAAGGATCCTCTGACGAAGTATGTAAAGTAATTTTTGCAGCTCCGGTTGGTATTCTTGTAAAGTCATTGTCAGTATTAATAATATTCAAATAATGTAAAACCATTCCGTAAATGGTGTCATCGATAAACTGAATTTGCATACAAAGGTTACGAGGGTCTGGAGTTTAACACTGATAACAGCGGTCCGTGGCCACAGAAAGCATAATATTCGAAGCGCCGGAACTAATAAAATGGAAAATAAGAAACGTGAGGTTTAAAAGTAGTTTTAATTATTGATAACAAATTCATTTAACCAACTTAATCCCTATGTATTTGTTTGTTAAAGTTTAATTTTCAATAAAACTAGAAAGTGAATATAGGATTTCTCCTGATTTTTTTGTTCCTTGGAGACCGGCTTGGCTGTGTCCTTTGCTTTGCTAATGTTCATAAGTGACGGTAATATTTACTACCAGATGGCCCGTTTGCATATTATGGTAATAAAAAGACTGATAGCATTTTCTTCAAGTGTCTCACCAGTTTGTGCCGCATTTTTAGCCGTAATTCTGAAGAGTCCTGCTCTAGATTGACGGATCTAGTTCAATGAGGAGGCCAGTATCCAACACAATCGAGATTTCGACCTCATGTACCAAAGTGGGTGGCAGCCTATACGTTCCCCTTTACTAGCTCCGTGAACCTCTCAGCACCAGTGTGCTTAGTGCGCGCTTTTTAACGTTCTCGATAGCGTAAAAGTTAACTCAAATTTGTATGCAGTTCGAACGTTTGCCGCTAGGGGCGCTGTTCCAACTGCATACAAATTCGGGTTAACTTTTACGTTATCGAGAACGTTAAAAAACTCGCAATAAGCACACAGAGGTGTGATGAGCCGATTTGAATACTGTACACACAATAAAATTCAGAAATCGAAATTTTTCATGACTTCAGTTTTTGTAATTCATCAATGCAATAAATTATAAGTAAAAGTCTCATTCGTGTAATAAATTTTATTTTACATAAAAAAAAAAAACATTTATTTCACATTAGACACAACCAGTGGTAGGTAGCGATCTAACAAATCGCATGGTTCTATATACCTAAGGAAAAATTTTCATGAGTTTGTACTAAGTAATAATTAAAGGACAATTACCAAGGCCGTCCAAATGTCCACCACTATCAGCACAGAACAAATTTTACAAGTTCACTTTCAGGACATTAAATAGACTCATAAAAAGATGTAAAAAAATTTGCAGTTAAATTAAAAATTTGAAACTTTTAAACTATTGTGACGCATTCTCAATATAGTTTTCATTTTTGGAATAATTTATAGTTATAGTTAAACTAGCCGGGCTCGGGTCTTTAACAAAATTTCAACGATATATTTTGGCGTTGTTTTTTTTTTTTTAAATAAAATAACACTTATTGCAGCGTAACTATAATAGTTAGACATATGCTGTGCCGACACTTTTTCAATACAAACAAACAAACAAATCTTTCCTCTTTGTAATATTAGTATAGAAGTATAGATTATAACAATTATTCTTTGCGTGGGGTAATCCTCATAAGATACCCGAACGATCCGAGAAAGATTTATATTAGATATTTAAAGGCTAAATTCCTGCAATGGGTCACCATTGGCGTCACCAAACCATTCCTAGCTGGTCAGAATCTCGTATAGATACTTTCTATTTTATTTAAGTACTAGTATTAAGATGTTTTTGAATAAAAAAAGTAACACAGAGTCGTTTTTCATTAACATTTTACTGATAGCATATTTGCGTTCTGGTGTTATCGAATAAACAATTATTCGAATATTTTTTTTAATTTACTTCTAAATTTACTAATTTCTTTACGATTTAATAGGATTAAAGCGGAATCTAAGTATAATTTAGAATAAAAGTGCAAAAATAAACTAACAGATAAACCAAAATTGGGATATTTACTTTTGACGTCACATTAATGTTATAGCATTTGAAACAATTAGCGAGGTTTTTTTTTTTGAGTTTATGGCCTGGTATCTAGACCTTTAGTCCAAATTAGCGACGTAGGTACTCTCGGAGCTGTATTGCCAACGTGAGAATTCCAACTGAACTCATATAAAAAGGTTCAACACATTTTTTGTACTAGTTATTCTGTGAGATCCGGTAGGCAGCGGCTTGGCTCTGCCCCTGGCATTGCTGAAGTCCATGGGCGACGGTAACCACTCACCATCAGGTGGGCCGTATGCTCGTCTGCCTACAAAGGCAATAAAAAAAAAAGAGACGATTAGAAAATATAGCCTTCATTCGGAACTCACCAGTTATTAAATTTAACAATGTATAACAAAATTTCACTACTTTGCAGGTTTATTGTCTACTAAAATAAAACATTACGAATGCATGTATTATATTATGATACAGACGACAAAACCTAGAATTGACCTTTAGATTTGGCATTACGTTAATTAATTTATGAACTATTGTTTTCGTTTAGTCCTTCGTTTTCCATTCGTACGGTTTTCATACCTTCACGGCACTTTCGTCTGTTGATTTAACGGTTGCCTTGCTTAAGATCTCGTAATGAGCCGCTTCGTCTTTTGGAGGACTCGTCTCGTCTATACTGTATCTGCGAAATAAAGACATATCCGAATTGTTTCAACGCATCGAACACGTTCTAAAAGAATTAACTCAAAACTTCTTGTTTCGATTTGTTTTTGTCGGAAAACACCCATGCGTTTAAAATGTAAAATAGGATCTTGAATGCAATTGAGATTTGGTTCGCTTGACATGTCTCACGTGTTGTTGTTGGAGATGCTTTCATTTTTATTGTGAAAATAGAAAACTCGAATCTTCTTGTTTCGATTTGTTTTTGTCGGAAAACACCCATGCGTTTAAAATGTAAAATAAGATTTTAAATGCAATCGAGATTTGGTTCGCTTGACATGTCTTACGAGTTGTTGTTGGAGATGGATTCATTTTTGTTATGAAAATAGAAAAAAAATATATTGGAAGAAATAGTTTGGTTCAGTTCATTCACACAAACGAACCTACACGTGTCGATAGCATTCCACCACAAAAATTAATGATACAAGGTAATGTTTTTGTTTATTGAGTTTTGCCCATGAATAAGTAATCACTCATTAAATTTAATGAAAAAACAAGTAATTATTGCTTAGTAATGTTTGTATTAAACAAGAGTGACATATGGTCATGCTCCGCTATGACTATCGCAACAATATTTGTATGAAAAACTTTTTGAAACTATTCGTGCGCCATCTATCGTACGTTAATGGTACTGTGTTAAAATCATTTTCTGGAGTTCCCACGACAAATTTACGACGTTTTATCACGATCCTATGAACGGTTTAGACAACACAGACGAGTAGATAAAACATTGCTAATAAAATCAAGAAGGCGGATCAAAGTACAATTCGGCTTTGGAATGAGCTTTCTTCTATGGTGTTTCCCGAGCTCTATGACATGTCCTTCTTCAAACAATAGTAACTATGGAGAATACTACGTGGTAGGCAGCGGCTTGTCTCTGCCCCTGGCATTGCTGACGTCTACGGGCGACGGTAACCACTCACCATCAAGTGGGCCGGGCAATAAACTGTAACTATACTTGGGATCTTAGAACTTATTTCAAGGTGGGTGGCGCATTTAAGTTGTAGATGTCTATGGGCTCCAGTAACCACTTAAAACCAGGTGGGCTGTGAGCTCGTCCAATCACCTAAACAATAAAAAAAGGTCAAAAAATCATTGGCTTTAACGAGCTTATCGTCACTCAGAGAGTGGTCACCGATACTCATGGACATCAGAGATGCTAGAGGTACCACTGAGCCGCAGGCTAGTGCTAATTTCGAATAAATATAATTAAATTGTCTTTCATGTAGAAGTGACGTTGTCTTCAGTTTATTTTAATTGTTTAGTTGGGTGGACGAGCTCACAGCCTACCTGGTGTTAAGTGGTTACAGGAGCCCATAAAAAATCCACAACGTAAACGCGCCACCCACCTTGAGATATAAGTTCTAAGGTCTCAAGTATAGTTACAACGGCTGCCCCACCCTTCAAACCGAAACGCATTACTGCTTCACGGCAGAAATAGACGGGGTGGTGGTACCCACCCGCGAGGACTCACAAGAGGTCCTACCACCAGTTCATTCGCCAGCGCGGCGTCCGTGCAGCTATCTATATCGGCAATAAGAAAATCTGGTTAGCGTTCAATACAAACCCGCAAGCCTTGAAGAATTCGGCGGCGGAGGGATTGTGCGTGAGCGCAGTGAGACGCACGCAACGCATGTGGGTGGCGTGCGCAAGCTTCTCCAGCACGCTGAGGACGCGCTGGCCGAGTCCGCGACGACGTCCGCCCTTCTCTACCTGCACCTCGTAACTGTTTATAATATAAATTATATTATTCACTTAAACTAAACCTAAACTAAATTTCTTTTCTTTGTCTTATCACTCTTGTCAGAGCGGTCGTGGTCGTCATACAATATCATTGCTGTGGGCAGATCAGTTATCACTTCTCACGGTTTGTGGTGAGCCTGGTACACTCAGGTAAACACCCGACTTGACTTGGTCGGTCCATCGCATAAGAAACCTTCTACATACAAATTAATCTATACTAATATTATAAAGAGGAAAGATTTGTTTGTTTGTTTGTTTTGAATAGGCTCCGAAACTACTGAACCGATCTGAAAAATTCTTTCACTATTTGGAAGCTACACTATTCCCTACTGAAAAAAATCAGGGATCCTTACGAAAACTCCAATAATGTAACCCAAGGTGTGAAAAAATTACCTAAAATATTCTTTAGATCATTATTTACAAAAAGTTTCGCAACAGCATATATTTAACTATTATAGTTATGCCGTAATAGGTGTTCTTTTATTTTTTTAAATAAAACAACGTCAAATATCGTTGAAATTTTTCGAGCGGAGCCGGAGCGGGCCGCTAGTCAAATATAATCTGATGATTTCAAATGAAATATAACACTTTATATACATACATAGTTATTACTAGAAGTTCACTAAAAAGAAAATTGCGTGTTTATGTGACTTTGACATGGCCCGCCTGATATGAGTGGCCATAGTAGTTCATGAATATCACCAAGGTCGGAGACACAGCGAAACCACCACCTACCGTATACATTACAAACACAATAGATTAAATCGAGGAGTGGAAGACTATTTGATTTAAGCGACATTTATCTTTGTAATTAAAGGTCCTTTTTATTTGGTACTAGCGACCCGCCCTCGCTTCGCTTCGGAAACTGTAATTTATTATTGATTTCTCTACTATTTAATGGATGTTATTATACATATAAAATTTCCTCTTCAATCATCTATTAAAAAAAACCGCATCAAAATCCGTTGCGTGGTTTTAAAGATTTAAGCATACATAGGGACAGTTATAGGGACAGAGAAAGCGACTTTGTTCTATACTATGTAGTGATTAGCATCAACAATCCGATGTTTTTAAGAGAACTGCAATTAAGTTTACTCCATTCAAATAGTTGAAGAAGTTTTTTGTTATGATATTTTTTTCAAAATTTAAATGGCTCCTGTGCAGCTGCAAAAATGTCGCTTAAATCAAACAGCCTTTCAACCCTCGATATGTATATTTCCGCGCATCCCTTGAAGTAACTAAATTCAATTCACACCTGAATTTATTCAAATTCAAACAATTTTCAACAAATTTCTCAAGTTTAAAAAAAATGAATTCGAAATCTTCTGAAGCAAGAATGCGTTCTGTGTAATGTCACTGACATTCTGGTACTCTGATAACAGCTTCACCGGTTCTTTGTGGTTTCCTCGCTAAAACTTATCACACCTCATAGACTTTTGAAGTAGTCGTGGCCTAAAGGATAAGAGGTCCGGTGCATTCGTGTTGAAGCGATGCACCGGTGTTCGAATCCCGCAGGCGGGTACCAATTTTTCTAATGAAATACGTACTCAACTATTGTTCACGATAGACTTCCACGGTGAAGGAATAACATCGTGTAATAACAATCAAACCAGCAAAATTATAATTTGCGTAATTACTGGTGATAGGACTTCTTGTGAGTCCGCACGAGTAGGTACCACCCTGCCTATTTCTACCGTGAAGCAGTAATGCGTTTCGGTTTGAAGGGTGGGGCAGCCGTCGTAACTATACTGAGACCTTATAACTCATATCTCAAGGTGAGTGGCGGCATTTACGTTGTGGATTTATGTGGGGTCCGGTATCCACTTAACACCAGGTGGGCTTTAAGCTCGTCCACGCATCAATGCAATAAAATAAAATAAAAAAAGCTTCGCACGAGTTGTTTCGCACAGTGTTCAGTGTGCTTAGTGCGAGTTTTTTAACGTTATCAATAGCGTAGTTAACTAAAATCTGTATGCAGTTTGACCAGCGCTTCTAGCAGCAAACGTAGGCAAACTTTCCAGTTTACAAATTTGAGTTAACTTTTACGCTATCGAGAACGTTAAAAAACTCACACTAAGCACACTGGTATACGAGCAGTCACACTGCGAATGGGACAACTGAAAATCCAAGGGAATCGGCTTTTCTTTGATCAAACTGGGAAGCTATACAACAGTTATAACAACAGAACGACGATACTCACCGGACGCTGTCTAATCGAATGTAAACTATTAGTTTGTTGAACTAAGCTCCATCCATTTACAAATGTGATTGTGTACGTAATGTAAACAAAGTCGTAGTCTAATTATAAATGCTGTCACCAAAAAAATAGGAAACATAAATGTCTCAACGCCAAGTTCAACGGTCTTTTATGTCATTTTAATATCGATTTATTTCTTTTTAAAATAAAGCTTTAGTTTAAGGGTGTCAACCGAATGATCATAAACAAACCGCACAGTGTATGTTATAAGAGTTTTTCGTTATAAAGGAGTTCAAAGTGTTTTCAAAGGATTATGCAGTTATCAATAAGGGTGACGTCAAATGCAATGTACGCAACGGGCACTTGATATTTCTAGTCACACACGATTTCGAACATCGGAGAGATGCGGGTGGCGTGGCTGCTGTGGTTAGCGACGGTCGCGCGCGCTGCTCGTCTGCTCGTGGTGCTGCCCACAAACACTAAGAGCCATTACGCTATGTATAGCAGGCTTATTGAGGCGCTAGCGAAAAGGGACCATCAACTTACCGTTATCACACACTTCCCTGTGGTAAGTATTTGGGAATTCTAACTAAGAAACCGATATGAGCCGTGTCAAACTTTGCTCCTAATAATTTAATAATGATTTTTTTTCTTTTTCAAAATTTTTTACCTTGACAGTTTAAGCCTCTCATATTATAAAACTTTATAATATTTTCATTTGTTATATTAAAGGGACACCCCGTTTTCTCACAAAAGCTTTCGTTTTTAGTGAAAGCAATGTGGCGTATCGTATATAGAGAAAAAGTTACAATGGTATTAAGCTATTTTTATTGTACTAAATGAGTCAACGAGCTTTTATTATGAAGAAGAAAAAAAACTATAATTATTTTAAGAATATTCCATTGACTCCTGAACTATTATTATAATAAATTCATAATAATTGAGTATGAAATAAAACTTTTTTAGTTAACATTTAATATTATTAAATATATATTTTTATATTACGAAACGAAAGTTGAGTCCCAAGTTATGCGGAGATTTGAATGTATAGATACGGAAGAGTTTGTGATATGTGATAAATATTTGCCGTCAGAACCATGGACGTATTTCTTCTTAAAAGTTTCTCTGTGCTCGTAAAATAGTCAGTAATTCCTAACTAAAGTTTTAAATGCAGAGGTGGTTTTGCACAAGAAATTTGACGCTTGCCACAACCCACTTTGGTGTATTTGGTCGAAGTTTAGAAGAAGTCTTGCAATGCTGCCTGCCAGTACGATCAGTCAGTGGGTTGTGTAGATGAACTAATAAAAATGGTTGTGTCGTCCATATCATTGGCATTTTGCCGAACCAAATTTACAAAGCACTTACGGAGTACTTAAACTGTATTTATTAAGCGAACCATTAGTGATAAGACAGCGCCATAAGACCAAAACATCATATATATTTGTAAATATCCTATTATTTAAAAACAACAAGATATTTTACAATAGATATGGACCCTTTTAGGTTTTATCGCGTAATCACAGGTAGGTTAATGAACATCATAATATGGATGCCGCCATCTACCTTAAGGCATGATTGCTTGAACCATAAGGTCAAAACCTCCGTTGTATTGTGTCATAGCGGTCTCATCCTAAAATCGAAAAGTATGATTCGCCACGAAAATCGGCATTATTGTGGCACACACCCGCGCTGGTATACCAGTACGCTGATATAATTCATAGAAAATGCGCTTTGACATATATAAAAAGTCATGGGGCAGTGCTATTCTAAGCCTAAGTATAGTTTTCTTTTATAATCTATCTAGCTACACGTTATAATTTGTTTCAGGACGCACCGCAACCTAACATTAATCAAATAAGCTTAGCTGGAACAATACCGGAGATCACTAATAATCTTACAAGAAAATATGATTCTTTGAAGCCGAGCTTCATCCGCAATTTGGAACAAATCATCAGTGAATGCGTTAATGCTTGCGAAACAGTAGTACAGCAAGATTCCTTCAAAGAGTTACTTAATTCGACCGCTTCTTTTGATTTAATTATCGTAGAAGTCTTCGGAAGTGATTGTTTTTTACCTTTAGGTCATAGATTCCGGGCCCCCGTTGTCGGATTATTGTCTAGTGTCCCTCTACCTTGGGTCAATGATTACCTTGGCAACCCAGAAACAGCGTCTTACATACCTTCCTACATGATGGGTTATAGACAACACATGAGCCTATGGGAACGATTATCAAACACAATAGCTATTATATTAGCTAAGATTTTATACACATACAAATCAAGGATTCCTTCACAAGTGAATATTAAATTTAATATTTTTTTATGAGTAGAATAATGAGATAATAGTCTGTGAGGTTAATGTAGTGAAATTTGTTCAAGAAACCCGGCGTATACAACGCCATTCCATCCATACCATATGCCATACCATTCTATCATCCATATGTAGTATTAATATCCTCATTTAGCTCTCGAAACAACGTGCTGGTCATTCCTATTGTTCTGCCTAATTATGCCGGACCGAAATAATGAATTCCAGTTAAATAGGATAAAGACTGCCCCTATCCAAATATAATCAATAAGACTATGTCATTAGTCATTAGTGACTCAAGTCACTAATGTGATGTGAATGGGATACGGTAACCTAAATACCAAGTTGGCCGTGTCTTCCCTTGTCGATTTATGATTCAGAAAATACTGAATACATGCCATCGCTTACCAATACAGCGATTTAACTCCCAAACCAAAGAATCATTTGATTTCCTCCTGAAAAGCCCGTCTTATGAACCACGGGGAATCTACGTTCAGCAATGGGAGTCTATTTCTCTAATTATAGCATTAGGGATGACATCTGATTCTGAGTTTGTGTTAAATCGATTAATATAATTGCAGGTGATAGTAGATCGAGTCTTCGGGCATGGAAATAACTTACAAAAGCTCGCGAAAAACTACAGTGTGATTTTATCTAACAGTCACTTTAGCATTAACGAAGTCCGACCTCTTGTGCCTGGTCTAGTAGAAGTAGGCGGTCTACATTTGGATCACAGTCAAACACTTCCTAAGGTGAGTAAAGTTCTTAAATATTGTTATTGCACATGCAAAAAATCATAGTAATATTTCAAAAGACCGCTCCGAAAAGTCGAGACATTTTGGCGCTCGATAATTGTTTAAGTTAAACAAATATTACGAAAGACTATTGATTTGTTATGCCAATGAATCACCCGATAAGGCATTCGTCTCGAAACTTTATCTCCATTCATATCATAGAGCGTGTGCTGCGCCTGTCGTGTTCCTAAAGTCACTAGGTCAGATATTCAACTCTTTCTATCATTATATGAGCGTTATGTAATTTTAGTTATTACTAGTGAATCCCGGTCACGCTTAGATGTGTTGATCGCTAAATCTATGAAATGCATTTATTTGGAGCAACGACTCGCGAGCATACATTTCCGCCACGTTAAAAACCGAGGACTCAACAGCAATGGCACATAGTGGGGGTAGGGCCTCTTGTGAGTCCGCACGGGTAGGTACCACCACCCTGCCTATTTCTGCCGTGAAGCAGTAATGCGTTTCGGTTTGAAGGGTGGGGCAGCCGTTGTAACTATACTGAGACCTTAGAACTTATATCTCACGGTGGGTGGCGCATTTACGTTGTAGATGTCTATGGCCTCCAGTAACCACTTAACATCAGGTGGGCTGTGAGCTCGTCCATCTCTCTAAGGATTAAAAAAAAACATAGGTTCAAACTCAATCGATGAACATTGTATCATAGCGTATATTTAGGTTATGCATACATGGGACCTCCAATACTGAAATGAAAACAGTATACCACTTGACGCCAAATCTGTTTAGTATACCTTATAACGCACGTTTTACTCTAGGCGTGAAGTATTGTTACGAACTTCTGTTAACGCCTAAACGCCCAACAATTTAGATGACAATTTGACCTCATCTTTCGAGTGAGTCCTGAATATTGATTTGACACTAGATACGTGAAATATCGATACTAAGTAAAATTTAAACTTGGATGCTGCTTCAAGATTTTTCTATTATTGACCGTGTTAGCCGTAATAATAGAAGATCACGATACGAATATTTTAAGTTAAGAACTTTCTTCACAAAATGTAAACTAAGACCATCGCCAGATCCATGCCTGTTCTATGATCGGAATATACTCTTATGAAATAAATGGTCCAAATTTTTAGTTAAGATTACAAGACGTGTTGTGACAACGATACTTGTTGTGCAATTCAGTCGTTCCCAAAACATGGTGCCCTCACCGCCCTCTCTATACTACGCATCTGTTTCCACCCATCAATACGAATACAGTCTGCTTAGTGCGAGTATTTTAACGTTCGCGATAGCGTAAAAGTTAACCCTATTTTGTATGCAGTTGGAACAGCGCCCTTAGCGTCATTATTAGCGTCATATTGTTGTTTTGCAATTTGAAATTAAAATTTATCTATACTAATCTATACTAATATTATAAAGAGGAAAGATTTGTTTGTTTGTTTGTTTCGAATAGGCTCCGAAACTACTGGACCGATTTGAAAAATTCTTTTTCCATTAGAAGCCGACATTGTCCCTGATGAACATAGGCTACTTTTTTTAATTTTTTTTAAATTTTTTTTTTTGGTTTTTTGTGTGTTTTAATGTTTCCGAAGCGAAGCGAGGGCGGGTCGCTAGTATAATAATAAAGTCAAAATTCCATAAGTTGGTTTTCATTCATAAATGGTTTTTACGTCGCCATTTGTGTACGCTCTGACATGTCCATGATTAAGGAAAAGCCTAAATATCGTATATGAGTACCGCCGTGATACTAGCAAGTATTGTAGCGCGAAGAATTAATTGTATATTAGTCACTACTAACGAACGCACGATATTTAGGTTCCAAGGTTTTCGTTTTGGAAATTTTGGCTTGAAGAAATAGAACTGTAGACGACTGTTAATGTAAGTCGATAATGAAAACAATAGTGAATCTTTTTTACTGGAATCGTTTTTACTGACGCTACATTGTATAGTGGGTTCACACCGGTTTGTTCGGCCGGTTTCTGCTGCATAGCAGTTACACATGTCGGTTGGAAGGGTTGTGCATATGTTCCACGGAACATTTGAGACTTCAGCATGAGGAGACATTTCTGTGTGCTCCGATAGCCCCTCATGCCCCAACCATGAATTCTGTCAATTTAATAGGTAGGCATATAACATTGAAAAAAATAATCAGCTTATGTCCTGGTCGGCAGAATTAATCATCTCTCGGTTAGTTATAGCTCGATATCTTTACAATTGCAATATAAGGTGCACTGTCGCCTGCACGACCCTATTAATTTTATTATCATTTATTGTTTATCTCAAACAAATTATGTCAATGATAAATTTGTTCAATTGTTTTCTTTGCGTGCTGGTTACGCCCGTCAGTGATTTGTGGAGCAGAATATTACGACAATAATAAACTTGTTCACTGTTTGAGGGATCATTGTTAAAGAATAATGACATGAGGGAAGGTTAGCTTGGACGGTTTATCTCGACTGTATCGCCTAGAACAACTAGACGAATCCTGTTTTCAAAACCTTCATACCAGTTTTTTAATGTCCCTAGAACATGAAGAAACTTTTAGATGCGTCAACAGACGGTGTTATCTACTGGAGCTTTGGCTCGATGTCCAGAATAGAAACGATACCTAGCGAAAAGCTTTCAGGTATATTTGAAGCAATATCTGAACTACCACAATTGGTCTTCGTGAAGATGGATAGAAGAAGGCTCACAAAGAATATCACTGTGCCTGACAATGTATATACTATGGATTGGATTCCGCAGTATGCTACATTATGTGAGTTAGTTTTGAATATTTAATAAACCAAATATTTTTTTCACTTTTATTTCGTTGTAGACATAATTTTTTTTTTGGACGAAGTTCCTTATAGCACGTTCCGGAGGGGTACCCTAACCGGGAAAAAACGTTCGTAACGTCAGATTTTTATTAGTAATGCACACAGTGTACGATTTAACTTTGTAGTAACGTACAAAAAATAACATATTTTTTTATCATTCATTGACCACGATCTCGGAGCGTTCGTTTGCGCAATACACTAACCCTTATGCAAACAACCGTGAATGAAGTGTACCACAATAAGTTCGCGCATTACCGAATGACCGTGGGTTGTTGCAAAACCTATTTATTTTCATTGTACTTCGAATAGAACTTAAAATTAATATTTTTATAATAAGGAACTTCGTTCCTTCGTGGGTGTCTCAGGACACCACACATCTTTTTTTTTTTTGTATTTTGGCTACAACTTGGTTTGTTTTCAGGTCACCCAAACGTCAAGTTATTCATTTCTCATGGAGGCTTGCTTGGCACACAGGAAGCAGTGGCTTGTGGGGTACCTATGTTAATGGTGCCTCTATATGCTGACCAAGCTCTTAATTCTCAGTCTATGTTTGATAAAAACGTTGCCAGAATTCTGGATCTACACGAGGCTGATAAATATGAATGGAAGAGAGCTTTACATGATTTATTGAGTAACAAAAAGTGAGTACCAAATTCAAACTTGGGATTGTTATCTTATTAGTTTTTGTATCAATTGACTGAATTTGATTGATGAGCCAAGTTAAGTCGTCGCGGCCTAACGGATAAGATGTCCGATGCATTCGTGTTGACCGATGCACCGGTGTTCAAATCTCACGCGGGTACCAATTTTTGTAATGAAATACGTACTCGACAAATGTTCACGATTGACTTCCACGGTGAAGGAATAACATAGTGTAATAAAAATGAAACCCGAAAAATTATAATTTGCGTAATTACTAGTGGTAGGACCACTTGTGAGTCCGCGCGGGTAGGTACCATCTCCCTGCCTATTTCTGCCGTGAAGCAGTAATGCGTTTCGGTTTGAAGGGTGGGGCAGCCGTTGTAACTATACTTGAGACCTTAGAACTTATATCTCAAGGTGGGTGGCGCATTTACGATGTAAATGTCTATGGGCACCAGTAACCACTTAACACCAGGTGGGCTGTGAGCTCGTCCACGCATCAAGCAATAAAAAAAAAGGAAATTCAGTCAATTGAGAATTTAATGTATACTGTAACTTTGTTCTTTTCAGGTATAGAGAAAATTCAAAAACACTAAAAGAAATATTTTTAGATAGACCAATAAATCCTTTAGATATGGGCGTCTACTGGATTGAATATGTGCTGAGATACCGAGGTGCGCCACATATGAGATCACCAGCCCTAGACCTTTCCTTATCACAGTACTTACTGTTTGATGTGATAATAATTAATATAACTATTACAATTGTGTCTGTATTCATTTTACATGCTTTGTTTAAATATTTGTGTACAAAATGCATCAAATGGTGTCCTAAAGAAAAAATTGTAATTGAAAAAAGACTCTTTAAAAATAATGTAACATTATTTGTATGTCTTCTGAGGAAGTGTAAAGTAAAGATTAATTGAATGTGTCTTAATAGCCATAGATGGCAGTCGCCATTTTAATTGATGTATTAAATTTCATAGATATTAAAAATAAATAAATACATAGGAATGGCCATTTAGATTTTAAATACCAAATAAAGCTTTCAGAAAACTTTTTCTGTTTTAAAACAAAAGCAAAATCTTCAATGCTTTTATTTTAAAAGGTTATTCATATTATTATCATTATTAGATATTTACCAATACAATACTGGTTCTCCAAAGTCCAGGTCAAATCTGAAGTGTGAGAAAGCTAGGAGTGTTCCATTTTTCTCACGGGCTATCAGGTACCAGGCTGCATCATCAGTCATTTCCTCCAGCTTACGATTAGGATTCCAACCCCATGCACAAGTTTCATAGCTATAAATTTATTTTAATGGAACGTTAATTGAGTCGACTATTATCAAAGCCGGCAATGTGACTTTTGGACAATTATTGGTAAATCAGAAAAACGAATTATTGACTTTGTATTCCATTGGCAGTCACAAAACTCTTCTGTTCGACATCTTAGATAAATAACAGGTTAAGTATTAACCTTTATTTAATGCAGGTTTTGAACCGTATTCTTTGAAGGAGACGATTATATTCAAATTAATCTGTATTGACATATCAATAAAAAAATTTTGTCCAAATGCACAGATTGCCACCTTTGATAATAGACGACTCAATTGTGTAAAATTATATATTAGCTAAATATGAAAAGTTATGAGAGTCCAAAAGTTTGTACCATCATCCTGCTTATTTCTGTTATGATGTTTTCAGCTTCAAGGAATAGAATTGTCATTCCATAGAATAGTCATTACTGGTGGTAGGACATCTTGTGAGTCTGCATAGGTAGGTACCTGCCTTGAAGTAATAATATGTTTCGGTTTGAAGGGTGGGACAGCTGTTGTACTTTAAAAACTGAGACTTAGAACTCATGTTTCAAAGTCGGTGGCGGCATTTACGTTGAAGATGTCTGTGGGCTCCAGTAACCATTTAACACCAGGTGGGCCGTAAGCTCGTTCACCCCCCAAAGCAATAAAAAAGCCACTATTACAATATAATTAGTCTCGTCTCGTGATGGCTGCAGCTTTCCCTAAGCAGCATTGACATTTCAATGAACATAAACTCCTGTACCAAATACAAAGGAGGCCATTATAAATAAAAATATAGTGGTTCAAGAGTGGCATATTCAAAACTGCATAAAATGTATGATGGTTGTGTTTCTATTTGTTGCTAGTATGTATTTTATGATAATATTATTGTTATGGATTAGAGATTATGTAAATAATTTTATGAGAAAGCAAAAAGCTTTGCTATACTTACAGTGTCTTCATATTTTTTTCAGTCAAGTCTATGGCCCACTGTAACACCTTTTTATCCAGTTCAGTGACCTTTTGTATATACATGTCTACCTCCAGGTCGAGATTACGGAAAACTAACAATTCTTTGCACAAGGATGCCAAGTCTTGAAGTTTATTCGCAGTTGTAACGTGGGTCATAGCATCAGCAATGCGCCTCTGTTCTTGCTTTCTAGCAAGCCGCTTATCTTTCTGTTTGTTTGTAGCTGTTATTGATTTTTTCTGAAAACATTGTAAAAATCGAATTGCTCAGAAATACACATAATTTACAAGAGTATTGCTATTTTAATCTGCACAATATACTGACTCCCATTATTTAAATTAGAACTGATTGTAGGTAATAAAACTTTACTTTCAAATTATTTGATTTGTGATTGTTTATTTAAATTATTATCTCAAAAATATAGCGGGAACTCAGGAAAGTTGGATAAGTTGACATTAGTGACTGATCAATTAATGAGTGTATTATCTATGGTGATTGATTGAGAGTTTATTACTGACTTTTTGGCGGGAACGCGAGGAGTGAAGTTGTGTGATTTGTTTTATTTTGTCTATTTAGTGTTTCTTCAGGTTTAAATGTGTAATAACGGTGGTTTATTAACTGTTTAATATCTGTGAAAGTGCACAAATGTGGGAAAATGAAACAAAGCCGCTGGACGTAACTTCTCGGGATCCTCCAAAAAGTCCACTGAAAAAATCTTAGTAAATGACTACCATTTNGAACGCGAGGAGTGAAGTTGTGTGATTTGTTTTATTTTGTCTATTTAGTGTTTCTTCAGGTTTAAATGTGTAATAACGGTGGTTTATTAACTGTTTAATATCTGTGAAAGTGCACAAATGTGGGAAAATGAAACAAAGCCGCTGGACGTAACTTCTCGGGATCCTCCAAAAAGTCCACTGAAAAAATCTTAGTAAATGACTACCATTTTACTGAGATTATATTTCATCCCATATCATCTCATTTCATTTCATTTAATTTCATTCCAGTTGATTAATATCTCAAATTAATCATCTTCATTTCATTTCACTCCATAATATCATTTTTCATAAAAATATGAATATAAATTAAAATAAGACATGACTTAAAGGTTTTAGTTACCAGGTCATAAAATCCCTTATAAAAAGTATAATACTCGGTTTACATAATTCTAGTCCAACGATCGAATCCAGCGCTGGATTGCTTACTGGAAAAATGTAAACCGACACTGGAATGCACTGAATCCAGTTAGCATTCCAGTCCAGGAACTGGATTGGAATATGGTGAAGAAATTATCTGAACATCAAATTTTAAAGTTTGTCAGCTTATACAGAGAAAATCCTTGTTTATGGGACATATCATTAATATTAATTGAAACTAATGATAACAGTTCCTTATCAACCTCATTAATAACTTCCTATAGCAAGAGTAATTAAGCATGTTTGAAACACTCTCGAACCTAATCTCTTCTTGAAATCATTATCACTCTAGAGTTCACATTTCAACGGCTTCTAAATAACTGGAATAATGTAGACGTTACAGATCCTCGCTGGATCACTGGACTGGAATAATGTAAAACGTGCATAAGTTAATATAACTGACATGAGTTGGATTTTTTTATTTCATATTATGGATTTATTCCCTCTGCCTGTCTAATTGGACAAAATAAACAAAAAATCTATTTTTGTTAATCAATGCATAATGACTTCTGGTCTTTTTGCCAAATCTTCATGAAAAGTATTTAAATGAAATAAATTTATTTCTCATTAACTATGCGATGGAAATACGTGAATAGGAACGAGGTAAGCTGAGTTGTCTCAGTAAAATATTGGAATTTACTAACACTATCAGAAAAATCCGAGAAACTCTGTCTTTTTAACTTTAATACACTGCTATGGGACTATGGAGCTTTCTAAAGTGCCTACAACAATTGTGGCAAGTTTTATCACAATCGAACGAATGGCATAAAAACGCTTAAAGCATAAATATGTTAGCATACATTAATTTTTATCTATATAATTGTGAGTTTACATTACATTAATGTACATTATATTAGTTAAATATATGTAGGTGTATAATAAAAATCTTACATTTATTTCCGTTATCTGGTACCTGTAACACAAGTTCTTTACGAACTTATCACGGGACCAGTTAACGTGGCGTGATTGTTAGTAAATATTTATTTATTATTATTATTTATTAGTGTACATTATATTAGTGTACATCACACTAGTGAACATTACATTAGTGCATTAGTAGTGTAAATTATATATTATATTTCAATTTTCAAAATTTCGTGTTTAAGGTCGCAATCACATAGATAGAATTTATAAACGTTGCTTTGGAGTTGTCTTTACGGGGCTGGGTTTAACAGTTGGATTTATAGTATGGTGGATTACGTTTAGAATGAAACGATAGGTAAGTTAATAAATAGGATAACTAGATCCTAGTTATCATTTAAAATCATTATATTTCAATCGTTATCAAAAAAATAATTATTATATATTATTATAAAAATAATAATTATAAATTAATTACATTATATATATAAAAATATATTGTAAATTTAATTGAAAATATAAAATAGGAGTTCAACGGTAACGTCATTCTTTAGAACACGAAGAGTTCTCTTGGATTCAACTGATCATATAACTTAAGATATTCATGCAATTCTGCAGCTAACCATACAAAGATGAGTTACGTGAGTTCATATGTAGTCATTATCAGACTAATTATTATAGGTGTTATTGAAAGCGTAGGTATTTGTTTCGACCGTGATATTGTGTGGGATAACTTGCTGGTTGTTATTGGTTTGGTAAAAATTGTACCTAGTGAGGTAAAACATGTTTCAAATATTTCAACATTTTCATCACCATGATCATTATAATAATACTAGCGGACCCGGCGAACTTTGTTCCGCCACACAGTTTGTTTTAAACACGTCAACTTTTTTATTTATTTATTGCTTAGATGGGTGGACGAGCTTACAGCCCAACTGGTGTTAACTGGTTACTGGAGCCCATGGACATCTACAACGTAAATGCGCCACCCACCTTGAGATATAAGTTCTAAGGTCTCAGTATAGTTACAAGGGCTGCCCCACCCTTCAAACCGAAACGCATTACTGCTTCACGGCAGATATAGGCAGGGTGGTGCTACCTACCCAACTTCAAAAATTTTTTTTTTTTAAAGAGATTTTATGACCTGGTAACTAAGACCTTTAAGTCATGTCTTATTTTACTTTATATTCTTAATTTTATGAAAAATGATAATATGGAGTGAAATGAAATGAAGATGATTAATTTGAGACATTAATCAACTGGGATGAAATTTAATGAAATGAGATGATATGGGATGAAATATAATCGCAGTAAAATGGTGGTCATTTAATTTTACTGAGATTTTTTCAGTGGACTTTTTGGAGGAACCCGAGAAGTTACGTCCAGCAGCTTTGTTTCATTTTCCCACATTTGTGCACTTTCACAGATATTAAACAGTTAATAAACCACCATTATTATACATTTAAACCTGAAGAAACACTAAATAGACAAAATAAAACAAATCACACAACTTCACTTCTCGCGTTCCCGCCAAAAAGTCAACTTCAAAATTCTACTATAATTATCATAGAATATATTACGTTTCGCTGTCAGTTGCGTTTTGTTATTCAATATCAGTTGCGTTTTGTTATACCACGTTTTATGTCACGTCCAACGGGAACGTGATAAAAAGTATCCTTTGTCCTTCTCCTGGTTCTAAGCTACCTCCTCACCAATTTTCAGCCTAATCAGTTCAGCCATTCTTGAGTTATAAATAGTGTAACTAACACGACTTTCTTTTATATATATAGATTATCATATCAATATTAAAACTAATATTTTGAGTAAATAGTGAAATAATGAATTCCACTTCCAAACAAATTAAACTTTAGACAGGTGAACCCTTACTTACCTGTAAAAGCGTATTAAAGTTTTAATCCTGTGAAATTTTTAAGATATTCCGTAAACATCATGCGAAAGTTAAACAGTAACACGGGTCTGCAAAACGTCAACAGAACCCGCGAAATTTAAAACAAAATACAAATTCAATTTGGACTGTCACCGGAAAATCAATAACTTCTTTTGGGGAAATGATTGGGTGCATCATCTATTAAGAGCAGACAGTACTGTGAAGAAATAAGAAAACGTTATTCGGAAATTGGCGTTCAGCCAATTTTGAGATTATCTGCGAGTTTCAGTAGATGGACTGTGGGTTAAAACTATTTCGTGTTCTAAAAATATCATTTCGAACAAGGTTTTGTTTTTACTACTGCTACAATAAAATAATGAAGCACGTGGAACTTTCATATACGAAAGACTTGATGCCAACATTAGGTCTTGGAACGTGGCAAGTATGTAACGTGTAAAATACACATACATTTGCATTTTTTATTATTTTATTATGTTCATTAAAACGTATTTTTCAGGCTCCCTCTGATGTTATAGAGTCTACTGTATACAAAGCCTTAGATTTGGGCTATAGGCACATAGATACAGCATTTAATTATAATAATGAGGAATCTATCGGAAGAGCCCTTAAGAAGTGGATTGATGATGGCAAAGGAACAAGAACTGATTTATTTGTCACGACTAAGGTAATTAGGCTACCTGCCGAAAATACTTTAAATAATTTTCACTGAGTTCCACATTTAGTGTACGTATGTATATGTATGTACGTAGAATGTATGGTACTATATTATAAGATTAATGTCGTCAATTTAAGATCTATAGGTAAGTACATCCTGTGCACTAGTATCAAGTAAAGCGACTTTGCCAACGTGTTCAGAACGACTTCTACATTGACCCAATAACCTTATGTATTAAATTGAATCCATCTTGCCTATTTGCTCGAATTAGTCACGCGTTTCAGTTTAACAGGTTAGACACCCGACACAATACAACAGGCTTCGAACTTATTTTTCACGGAAAGAGACGTCTAAGGGCTTAGGTACCTAGCTACTCTATAATAAGTTGGTTTCAAGTTCACCTGGCTTCTTTAAAGAATACCACTTTCCATTCACTTTCAACGTTGAGGCCACGGACGCCAGTATTTATATTTATAAGTACATGAAAGCCAAATTACAATTCGAAATAAAATTAAGTTTGGGTAAGGCCCTATCCTTGAAACTGAGCATCGACTTTATTATGGCATTCGTGTATGATTATTTATTTATAAGTAGGTACTACTCAGATAATCTTTACAGCTTCCTCACGTGGGTAATCGCGCATCTGATGTGAAGAAATTTTTAGAACTCCAGCTTAGTCGACTGCAGTTGGACTATGTCGATTTATATTTAATTCACGTTCCGTTCGGGTTCCACTGCGATCCGGAGACGCTGACTCCAAGGGTCAAGAGTGATGGGGAATACGACGTAGATATGGATACCAATCATCTTACTATTTGGAAGGTACTCCAACTACGCAATCTGTGATATATGTTGTAGGTAATTTACACAAAATATATACGTACAAAGTCACGGCCATGTTGATTCAGATTAAATAATCCACATAAATTATTGAATAAGTTTTGCTTTTGTTTGCTGGTAAGTTGTCAATGTAGCTCTTGGACATCAGTGAACTAACGAGTGGCATTACTGATGCCTAGCATTGACTTATTTGGAACCTCGTTAAAAGAAGGCCATTCCATTCATTTGCATAATCCAGAGGCATTTACAGGAAATGGAACTATGTCAAAGGGAAGGTTTAATCCGTAATCTTGGTTTGTCGAATTTCAACGAGGAGCAGATAAGAAAAATTTCTAAGTCATCTACAATCAAGCCACAAGTCCTCCAAGTAGAATTGCATGCGTATTTCCAACAACAGGGACTTCGGAAGTTTTGTACCGATAATGACATCGTAGTCACGGCTTACGCGCCTTTGGGTAGTCCCGGAGCTAAAGATCATTTCGTTACCAAATACAACTATAGGTTAGTTTAGTAAAATCTATTTATTCAAGGCATGTTGAGTTATAATATTAATAAAATTATTTTTAATTTATAGCCCGGATACGTTCCCCGATTTACTAAACTTACCACAAGTAAAAGAGATTGCTGATAAGCACGGCCGAACACCAGCACAAATATTACTAAACTTCTTAGTACAACAAAAGGTCGTTGTAATACCAAAGAGCACAAGTGAACATAGACTAAGAGTGAGTTCTTATATAGTCTAAATAATAATGAAATATAGTGTTTTTGAAAATAAAACTAACAAACAATTTAATTTGCAGGAAAACATGAATATTTACGATTTCGAGTTGTCAGCGCCTGAAATGGATTTGCTAAAGAAGTTGGACAAGGGGGAGAGTGGTCGTATTTTTAATTTTCTATTCTGGAAAGGCGTGGAGAAACACCCTGAATATCCGTTCCATATTGAAAAAAATTATTCCAGCAAAGACAAACAGTAATTAATACGTTCATTTGAATAAGTTGCTATGGAATAGCATTAATGCAAGGCAACTATAAATAACCATTGATAATATATAATGAATTCCACTGAAGTATTTTTAAAATTATTTATGGTTTCATTAACGTAATTTAGATTTTATTTAAAATTTAATTGCTGTTAAATTTGTGAAGCATGCAACTCTGTTATGTTGTTTTATCAGTAAAACTGATGACGTACGCTTGGCGCTTTGACCAATAAATGCAATTTCCGCATTAATAAAATTCGTTTAAAACGGAATCAAATCACTTTTTTATTTCAAAAAACTGAAGAAATTTTATTTTTGTATATTTTAAGCTTATGAGAGTCTATACAACATTTTTCGCTGTAATCTATGCTGAAGCTCCCCTCGTCGTATCATCATATGTATTACTTTAAGAATGGCTCGTTCTGGATATTTTTGTCGCAAGAAGTCTTGAATGATTGTCTGTTCAGAAACCTGAGAGCCCACAGCGAACCTGCGCTTTAATTGTTTCTCGACGCGAGTCAGCATTTCGTGATCTTCTTCTGTTGTAAAACCTTCAGCTCCTAGTATCAGTAATACAATTTTGTTAATATTTTCACAACAAGTTTGACTTCAGTAAATACGAAACTTATATATAGTTAGTAATCGGTTAAGAATAGAAAATAACATTTTATTTATCGTGCTGTATTTTTTTAAAGGTAGTAGTAACATTATCATTAAATAAAGTACTATCAAAGTTTAAGCCGCCGAGATGTGAGGATTAGTTATTTTATTTTTAATATAATAAAATGAGTAAATATTAATAAAAATAAAATGATCTTATAGTTGTATACAATGGGCAACTTCGTATTTTCTTTCAATTTTTTTTTCTTAGATGGTTACTGGAGCCCATAGACATCCACAACGTAAATGCTCCACCCACCTTGATATATAAGTTCTAAGGTCTCAAGTATAGTTACAACGGCAACCCCACCCTTCAAACCGAAACGCATTACTGCTTCACGGCAGAAATAGGCCGGATGGTGGTACCCACCCGCGCGGACTCACAAGAGGTCCTACCACCAGTAATTACGCAAATTATAATTTTGCGGGTTTCATTTTTACTCATTTCACTTTCAGTAATTACTATTCAATTTCTATTTACCTGCCAAACTACCAGTCATAGCCGCATCTAGCGTGGACACTTGGAACAGTCGAAGTGCTTCATTTACGTGAGCTTCAGTCGCAAACGGTTGTAGCTGCATCTTAGCGAGAGATTCTGATATACGAACTATGGCTTCCAATTGCCTGAAATACGTAGCACACTATTTTTTACTTTGGCTTTAAAAATAAATTTGCATTAAAGTCGCCATGCCACTGCTCCTTAAAGGAGACACACTGAGAGAGGTGGTATCTATATATTAATACGTGAGAAAAAATCTATCCCTTTTTACGAAAATTGCGCGAACGGAGGAGTATGAAATTTCCCACCCTTATAGAGAATATAGAGGACTGCAGAATGTTAATATTTTTTTTAAATTATGTTTTAAAAGTACATTAAATCAATAATAAAAAACATTACACACACTACCATGTATTTAACACCCACACGCATGCATATTATTTGTTTATTGCCAAACTTTTATTATTGCATAAAGAATAGTTATGTGAGCTCAAATTCAGAATAGATTAAATATTGTTTGTCTTTATTAATACTTATCTAAAGTGTAGTTTTGGCGAAATCTGTGATTATAGAAGTATAATAGTCTTTGACAATTGAGAGAGAGAGAGAGAATATACCACACCAAAACACATAACATCAGAAAACAGTCAACAAGCAGATACGATTGTACAATAGGCGGTCTTATCGCTAAAAGCGATCTCTTCCAGACAACCGTTTAATTACCCGAAATTCTGGACAGATAAAGATGAGTCGTCTATTATCAAAGGTGGCAATCTATGCATTTGGACAAAAAAAGGTTATTGATATGTCAATACAGATTGATTTGAATATAATCGTCTCCTTCAAAGAATACGGTTCAAAACCTGCATTAAATAAAGGTTAATACTGAACCTGTTATTTATCTAAGATGTCGTTCAGAAGAGTTTTGCGACTGCCAATGGAATACAAAGTCAATAATTCGTTTTTCTGATTTACCAATAATTGTCCAAAAGTCACATTGCCGGTTTTGATAATAGTCGACTCAGATACAGCAGCTATGTTGAGGTGTACTATTAACAATACACTATTAAAGAAAATACATACATACAATAAATAAATAATACCGTTAAACATAAATATATATCGTTAAGCACAATATGAAATCACCAAAACTTATAAATCATATTATGATGAATCGTAATAGTGTATTTATAATTATAATTAATTATACAAGAAATTCGACTACCGGGGGACACTAGTATTAATAAATACTGGTGTTAAATGTAGGATGAAAGATACCTGACAGTGATGGGTATGGAGAGGCGCTTGTCGGCTTGTCGCTCGTGTTGCAGCGCGCCGGTCCGCATGAGCACGTAGCGCGCCTGCAGGCGGGCGGCGGCGGGCGGCGCCAGGCGGGGCCCGCAGCGCGCGCGGCAGTACGCGCTGTACCGACGCAGCGTCGTCAGCGGCAGCTCGCCCGCCGCCGCCGCACGCTCGCTGCTCTCTCCGCCCATGTGCACGCTGATTATGTGCTTCGCGAGCGTCTGCCGAGGGCCGTTAAGCATGAGTATTAGGGCCGAGTCACAATGGAATGGCAGCGCCGCGGCGATCACATTCAGTGTGAAATAATTTTAAACTTTATCTATACACTTAAAAGTATCGCTTGAAAAGTTTGAAAAGGTTGCGACACAGCCGTCGGCCGCTGCCATTCCGGTGTGACTCGGCCCTTATATTAAAAAGACTTTTTTTTTTTTTCCTACCTATGCTGATAGCCTTGAGAGGCTATTTCAGCGTACCCTAGCTTGTGTAGGTGAGCTCGCGGGGCTCAAACCGGAGAATTGCTAACACCGCCCTAGCAAGAGCAGTGCTTCGCAGAATCTACCACCGGATCGGAAGCGCGACCCACTGAGAAGATCCGGCGAGAAACTCAGTGGGCTGTGTCTGTGGGNGCCTTGAGAGGCTATTTCAGCGTACCCTAGCTTGTGTAGGTGAGCTCGCGGGGCTCAAACCGGAGAATTGCTAACACCGCCCTAGCAAGAGCAGTGCTTCGCAGAATCTACCACCGGATCGGAAGCGCGACCCACTGAGAAGATCCGGCGAGAAACTCAGTGGGCTGTGTCTGTGGGTTAATTCGCTCGTCGAGCCCTTCGTTGCAAGCGACGGGTTCGACGAGGACGGTGACCGGTGCTTGTATTGCCTAAAAGCACCAAAAGACTTGATCGTCAATATTGCTGTACGTGTAATAATTTTAAATAAATTAAATTAAAGTTCTATAATTTAATAATATATTATTAATACCTACGTACTAGTTTCTTTTTGTAATATGTTTTTCGGTGAGTACAGGGAACAGTGTACTTTAAACGCGAGATGAAGTTGCTGCGCACGTGCATCGATGTTACACAATTTTTTAAAGGTAAAATTCTTAGTCGTGGACGTGGAAGGTGGACGATAATTTGAAGTAGAAAGATGTTACGTAGACAAAAAGAGAGCTAAATGTTTAGACTCCACGAAGGTGGAGCTAAAGAGGGTAACACAAATTAAAAAAAAAAAAAAAAAAATTAAGACACCAAGGGTGTATTTAAAAAAGACATACATGTGTGAGTTTATAAATCACATTTAGATTTTCAAAAGTGAAAGTGTAAAAGAAAGCCAAACGTCTTTCTTTCACGTAGAAACGAAGCAGCGGAATGATATGTTTTTTTTTAAATGTGATAGTATTAGGCTAGGCGAGTGACATAGGCTACCTTTTATCATGTACAAACATCTCGTTCCCGCGGGAAACTACAACGACACTAATGTTTGAACACGCGAGCGAAGACATGGGTAATAGCTAGTAGTAATTATATAACGTCACAGAAATTTTACTTCGTTACCAGCGTACACACAATTTTTTGTTCAGATTGAGGAGGGCAAGAACAAAACTGTTCTGTCTCTTTCCTGAAAGCGCGTGCTAGTATGTATTTTCTATGGCATTATTAATGGTCTAGTGCTTCTGAAATAACTGATATAGGCTATACTCACTATATCTCTATTCTGATCATGTTCATCTTTGACTATAAAAATCATGTCGAATCTGGACAAAATTGTTGGCATGAAATCAATGTTATCATCAGCTTTAGTATCGTCCCATCGTCCGAATACAGAGTTGGCGGCCGCCAGGACAGAGCAACGAGAATTTAACGTAGTGGTGATACCCGCCTGGAAATAAAGCAATCTATATATATAAAAATTTATTGCTGTTCGTTAGTCTCGCTAAAACTCGAGAACGGCTAAACCGATCTGACTTATTTTGGTCTTGAATTATTTGCAGAAGTCCAGAGAACGTTTAAAAGGTAGATAAATATGAAAATGCACGGAGTTAAATAAAAATAACAATTTTGTTTTCCCTTTGATGTGTCCCCCGTCGGACGGATTCCTTTTGTTTGTTTTAAGTTTATATTATACAAAACTTTAGGTTTTTTATTTATCGATTGAGGCACTACGAAGTCTGCCGGGTCAGCTAGTATAATATAATTTTGTATTTATATGTACCGAAATAATGAAACGGATTGAAATTTTGTGAGCAATGAGCAAAACGTGTTGTAAGGACGAAAAGTAATTCTAGAAGTTTGAGTTCTGTTGCAAGTATTTAGTTAGTAGTTAGATCAATAAGCATTTGTTAATAAGAGGATAATATGAACTCACCTTAGCAATAGAAATAGTTTGTTGTTCCATTGCCTCGTGTATGGCGACGCGATCATCTTCTCTCATCTTATCAAATTCGTCTATACAAACAACACCACCGTCGGCCAAAACCATAGCCCCTCCCTCCATTACGAAGTTACGCTAAAGATAAAAAATATATTTACTATGGTTATTTATAAAAATGCATAGCCCCAATAATAAATGCAATAGGAATAATGTCTAATTCACAGTAGAATGCAAGATTATTTCAGAGTTGAAATGAGCAAGATGTATGTAGTATCAGTATGTAGGGATGAGTAATAGCAAAGTAGTAATTTGATAATTTAAACAGTTGATAATTAGGGATTGTTGGGGAATGGTTATTCAGTTCTTGTCAGGTTAAACAGAATTAATGTGTTTGGGTATTCTGATTAAATTATAGGATTTCTTACGCTTCCAGGATCTCTAATGACTGAAGCGGTGAGACCTGCTGCACTCGAACCTTTTCCTGAGGTATAAACGCCAATTGGGGCAACCTTCTCCACAAATTTTAGCAATTGAGATTTGGCAGTACCAGGGTCTCCAAGTAAAAGTATATTTATATCTCCTCTACGAGTCAGGCCATCCGGTAGGCGTTTTCTAGATCCTGTAAATAGACATGGAGTAACTAGTAATGAAGAACATATGATCTAAGGGTGCATTTAAAAAAACAGAATTATAAAAATACTCTACAAACATTTAAGCCACTTTTAATTGTACGGGTTGTGAAATCACTTTTAAGAATGAAAGGGTAATGAGGTACTATCCTACTTTTAAGTAACAAAGGCAAATATTTTTCTTTTGCCTTTTTAATAACTCCAGAATGAGAGCCAAAGTATATGATAGCACAACCTCTAGAACGCCACTCTTTCTATAGAAATTTATTATTGATACATTGTATTCGTGTTACATTGCATGCAAACAATATTTGTTGCATTAATGAAATCATTACATCCATCTTTCGTTTGCAAGAGTTTTTCCAATACAACCTATTCATTGTTTTGTTGTAATTTGTTACCTCCAAAAAGCAGACAAGCGATAGCTTTCTTCATATCAACAGCACCAAAAACACTTGGAGCAATGGACTTTCCGATCCTTTCATAAATGTCTGGAGAGGCAGCGAGTCTTCTGAATTGCTCTTCTTCTTCTGCAGTAAAGGGTCTCAGGCCGCTAGTGACACCTTCCTCTGCGGTGAGCCCTACGGCTCGTAGGTACGATGACCGGACGCCTACGGAGCCTTTGTCGCGACCCTCGCGCTGTAAATGTCAAATCACGAACTACAATAATTCGCAGGCTCGAAGTTTTGATAAAATCATTGGCATAATTGTTATTACTGTCATTCTTAAATGATAGTCATATTCAGTACTAACCCCTACTTTTGCTATCTTTTTTATAGAATAAATCCCCAAAACCGTGACTCGTGCGCCTGGTGCAACACGTTCGCATAATGTACGATCACAGTATACAGTCAAATGCCTTGGCATTTCTCCTTGTGGAATACTTTCTGGTGCTTCTTGAAGTTTCAACACCTGTAAATTAATTTGAAAATCACTGTTTTTATATCTCTTATTATTTCTAAGATATTCACATGTGCACACTAAACTAAACCATTAATACTTTTAATATGATGCATTTCAAAACATTTCTGACAGTTAAAAATAGAAGTATTGTAATGTAATTTACATAATGACATCTTAATACTACAATTACCTGATAATCGATACATTTGCATTTGTCGGGAATAATGAAATATGGATCTAAAGGACATTTAGGACGTCCAGATTGTTCTCTGAAAATTGAAACATGAAATGTGTAAATGAAAGAACAAAAATGAAGATAAATCACGAATGAGTTTAGGGAATATATTATCTAGAGCAGTCTCAAGATATAACCAGGGTATAGTAATCGAGAAACTTTCTTCCATAGATTCTCCTTTCTCTTCATATAATAAAACATAAGATTAGTGGCTCAAAATCAAAACTGGTATGACTCAGTAATAGAGAATATTTACTTTAGATTCAAATTTAGTGGTCCCAAAGAACATACTATTTTTAAAATTGGAATACTTAACTTATGTAATTACGGAATGAAATTAACTTACGTATTGCATTTTCTTGGCATGACATATCCTTCCAGACCTGGCTTCACAGGAAGATTGGGAATAACATTGCGGCATGAGCGACATTGTATGGATATTTTTGTGGCTTTTGCTTTAATACCGGATGCTGATATTACAATACCAGGAATCTTCACTAGTCTTGATACAGTTTCTGACTAAACAAAATTTTTCATTTTGTATTTTGTCATATAATCAACATTTATTTTACTAACCTAAATGTATAGACAAGCTCATAACGAAATGTTAATTAAATTTGAATCTGTTTACTATTTTTAAATTTTATAACTAGATAAATATTAACTTACTTTAAGCTCCCTCAAATTTGATGAATGTGCATCTGATGACAAAAGCACTTGAATATCCTCAACTTTCTCCTCACCTTCTGGTCTCGGTGCAGTCAACTCATCAGCTAACTGGAAAATGTACATTAGTTGATTGCAACCTTTAGGTGCTGCATATCAAAACAAGCAGAGGTTAACAGATTATAAAAAAAATAAGTCTTTTTTTTTTTTTTTATTGCTTTGATGGGTGGACGAGCTCACAGCCCACCTGATGTTAAGTGGTTACTGGAGCCCATAGACATCTACAACGTAAATGCGCCACCCACCTTGAGATATAAGTTGTAAGGTCTCAGTATAGTTACAACGGCTGCCCCACCCTTCAAACCGAAACGCATTACTGCTTCACGGCAGAAATAGGCAGGGCGGTGATACCTACCCGCGCGGACTCCCAAAAGGTCCTACCACCAGTGATTACGCAAATTATAATTTTGCAGGTTTGGTTTTTATTACACGATGTTATTCCTTCACCGTGGAAGTCAATCGTGAACATTTGTTGAGTACGTTTAACATTAGAAAAATTGGTACCCGCCTGCGGGATTCGAACGCCGGTGCATCGCTACATACGAATGCACGGACGTCTTATCCTTTAGGCCACGACGACTTCAAAACAGTCTCTTTCTTATGTAGGTTAAATTTAAAATGTTGTTACACTTATCTTAAGTGTGATTGAAAATAGTATGATAATGACTATAGCTTTATTTCCAGGTGGATGGTGGCATTCTCGTATGTTTAGACTTCAAAAAAAACTAAAGTCATCTCAGCCTACTTACTCTTTATCTAGTTTAAAGATAGTTTTGTTTAGTAATACCTTTAAAGTTTGTATGTAAAGATTTTAACAGCTCATATACACTGTATTCAAGTTTTACTATATAATAATTTGGTCCAAAACAATTTAATGTTACAAGTCTCTTTAAGTGGGTTTGCATTGTCAAAGTATCCACAGTTTTATTGTAGTAGTAGTAGTAGTAGTAGTAGGAGTAATAAATAATTAGTTATACCATAATATTATGTATCAACAACTTGTCTTAATACCTCTTTAGCAGCTTCTTCTAGTATAGGCAAATGTTCAGTTGGTTTCTTGTATAATTTTTCAGCAAGAACGTCATCAAAACTAGACAAATCTTCAATATTTATCTCGACCCAATATTGGTTTAGGTTATAGTTGCGTTTGAGGGCATCTCTACAATTTGCATCAAGGAATGAAGTTTAGTTTGAAATCCTATGCTAGGTACTGGTTAAGAAACGATTTTTTACCTGTATTTGTAATTGAAGTTTCCAGTATGAAACTGTCTCATGAATTCTTTGAATTTCTTTTTGACTGCTTGTAAATTAACATGATCTTGAGATTCGTTTTCTTCTACACCAAAATTATCAGAGAAAAATACACCAGGATCATCAAAACCTTCCATGTTACTAAATCACAACCTAACTAACCCGTTAAATGTTATTTAATTTAAATTTAAAACTAATTTTATCGTCACTGACAAGTTTACGTTTCCCAACACATTTAATTGGCGCGAAAAATAATTTTTTTTAAGGGATTTTATGACCTGGTAACTAAGACCTTTAGGTCAAGTCTTATTTTAATATAAATGATAACTTTTTTTTATGTTAAATGATATTATGAAATTAAGTGAAGTTGATTATTAAGAAACATGGCATAAAATGAAATGAAAACGAAATAAAATGAAATGAGATGAGATGATATGGGATGAAATATTGTCTCAGTAAAATAGTGGTTACTTATTGAGACTTTTTGCCTTTTGGAAGATCCCGAGAAGCTACATCCAGTGCCTTTGTTTCTTTCCCGCATTTGTGCAGGTCTATCCGATGATTTGCAAGCAAAGTAAATTGTCCTTTCGTAATAAGATGACACTATACAAAATTTGCATACGTCCAGTCATGAACTATGCAAGTGTAGTGTTCGCTTACGCGCCTCGAATTAATTTGAAACCCCTTCAAATCATCCAATCTTGTTTTTGCAGGATAGCCGTTGGAGCACCGTGGTTCATGAGGAACGTGGATCTTCACGACGATATGGAGTTAGACTCCATCAGTAGGTGTATACAGTCAGAATCGGTGCGTCATTTTGAGAAAGCGGCCCAACACGAAAACCCTCTTGCCGTGGCCGCTGGTAACTACGTACCCGATCTTGCGGACCGAATCATAAACAGTCGACGTCGCCTTAAGCACGTCATTTTGGATCCTCCTGACTAGGTGCTTTTAGGTACCTCGAGCACCGGTCATCGAAACCGTCGCGTGCGACGAAGGGTTCGGTAAGTAAATTAACCCACAGACACAGCTCACAGAGTTTCTCGCCGGTTTTCCTTTTCAGTCGGTTGCGTTTCTGCTCCGTTGGTTGATTCTGCGAAGTACTGCTCTTGTTTTGGGCTATTGTTAGTAACGTCCTCAGGTTAGATCCCCGTGAGCTCACCTACTAGTTCAGTGACGCTGGCATAACCCTCTAACGATACCACCGTAGGTAGAAAAAAAAAGTGATTCATGCCTTCCCGTTTGGATTGGGACAGCCACTATGCAATTGAGACCTTACTGGAGCATGTCGACATCACAATGTGGATGTTGGCACTGCACTTGAGTAACAAAACACCAGAACAATTTAATTAATGGAGCTTGAGTTCGAAGGCTCAATTTCAATTTAATAAAATAATAATTATTATACCTAATATTTTTATTTTATTTGTTTATTTCTCTTTAAAATTAAAGGAGGTGATCATTTTTAACATTTCATCGCTACTATTTTAAAACCTCAACTGTTTGTAAAATTTAAATTACGGCGGGGTTGCTATGGTTACGAATTTGTTGATTAAATATCGATCGATTGTTTCGAGTTGTATGCAAATATCTCTTATTTAATTACGCAAAATGAAAGTATAACGAATGTTATCTAGTTAATTTATGAGTCAAATTTAGTCATGGGAGATGTAAGTGAAAATAGAAGTTATTTTTAATTAAATAGGAGGAGATATTTTTATAATTATTTTGCCTTTGTCGACATTGGCCATAAATATTCAATAGACACTGAACTGACAAAAAGTAGTAAATTAAGCCTATTTTGCAATATCATAAGGGCCTGTATACCATAAGAATAAAAACGTATAAGCATATTATGTTGCACGTATGCGTTTTTTTCCCCAATGGGCTACCCAAAGCCAAATTTATAGGATTTTTTTCAGCAAAGATGTTCAAATGACTGGAACGATTTGCGATTTAACCTTAGATAGTGCAGTCACGGGCTAATCTAGCACAGTATGCTGTCTCTTGTTCAACTCCTACAGCTTCATTGTCATTTTAACATTACACATTTCTACTGTGGAGTATTTGAAGCGCCTGAAATTATAATGAAATAAATGAATTAAAAGAGAGTAACAGGTTATTTTTAAGAACTTTATGGATATTTGGAAATACCAAATTAGATTAGCCTACAATAATTTTTATTTTTTCACAACAAATCGAAACAACAAGAGATCACTCGTTTATTTAATTTTTAATTAAGAATGGGCTGGTTAAACTATGGATATTACTATAAATAGATTAAATGATTTACGTATGTTAATTTTGAAAATCAACAAAATAAGGTTTAAATAAAATAAAATAAAAACGATTTTTTTGCACGTAGCCTTTATTTTGGTTGCTCATTTTAGAAAGAAGATGTCGATACTCGTCTGGAGTTTATGAGTGAATACCTACTGAAGACATTAAAGCAAAAGGCAGACAAGTGGGCTAAGTTCATCACTGGAGATGAAAGAGTGGGTTTAATAAGCTCTTATATGTTTATTAGATAATTTAATTACTAACGCATTTTCATGAAAATGCAATTCAGAAAATTGTATAACCTGATTACTTGATTTACTGATTACTTGAGCACTTAACACCAGGTTCATTCACCACTCTATGCAATAAATTGTTTGTTTAATTTCAGCATATTCTATTTAGATATTTTGATATGCCAAAATATGACATAATAGTCTTTCGAATGAACACGGCTGGCATGCTAACATGTTCGACAAGTTTTCCACCTATAAGCAGGGGAAAGATGGTTTATTTCCTAAGAAATGTTGACGATAAAATAACACAAGCCAATTTTCGTAAGGTACTTATTTATTTATTATTTATGGCTACGAATTGTTTTAAATGTGCGCGCCAATTTACACTATTAAAATATTATTTAGTGAGCTCTCACCAGGATTGTTTTAACCTAGTACGTTACCTTTAAAGGTCTATGGTTACCTTGAACCACGGAATAGATAAATAAGGTTATCTATTCCGTGCTTTGAACGGTTTTGAAACAAGCGAGAGTGTTGACCGGAACTAGGCCTGTATTATTATTATTATAATGAAGTGTCCTGATTATGACGGAACCTCAGTTGTGTTCAATTAAAATATTACCCGGACATATCTAGTTCCGCACAAGCTCTACAAAAAGCGAGTACGAGTAAATTTCCACCGTAAATAGACCCGTAGTGTGTATTTGCGGGTACTTTTTCTTTTTGACTACCTTATAGTGATCCTGAGCACTGTAACAAGGTTTTCATGGTTGGAGACAATATTCTTGAGGAAATTCCGACATACATAAATAGCAAGAAAATTGTAGCTTCAGTCAGTTGGGTTAATGTGAACATCACAAAATCCGATGAAATTGGGATTTAATTAGTTTATTCAGCCTATACTTACTACTGAGGATGATGATGAATTTCCGTTTGTGACTTTTCAGGCAGTAACTATAGGTGAAATGTCAGGTAACGTTCTGATGGATCTGAGCGTGTTGGCCGATGAAGTAATAGGGCCTATGCTTTGTAATCCAGAGAATCAAAAGGGATGGCCTAAAATTGTGCAAAACGATATGAAGAGACATGTTAATGATTTAAGGAATTTAATGCATCAGGTTGGGATGTAATTGTGTTTGTGGAACAGAATATTTCCCGGTCACGAGTAGTTTGACAAGAATACTTTATTGTTTTCGATGCTATAGGACTTGTAAATTGCTTAGATGGTAACCGGCTCACAGCCCACCTGGACATAAAGAATGTAAATGTCGCTACCTTGAAAAATAAGTTCTAAATCTCAATTAGTAAGAAGACTGCTCCAACATTCAACTCCGAACCCATTACTGCTTCGTGGCAGAATTAGGCAGGTTGTTGGCACCTACATGACGTCTTAGCACCAGTTATTTTTCTCGCTAATATTTCTTTTTTGACGATCCCTATGTACAAAACGCGTCTGTGTTCAATGTGTATAAATGAATTTAAAATAATGCCCGTGTAACCTATTCTAATAAAACCTATTCATTGATCATTATTGTTTTGTACTGACCAATTTTTTTAGAGTCGAATAAATTTAATGGCTTATCTATAATGCGTATCTTACGTTTGTTTCGTATAATATTCACAGCTGAAAGGCGAAATGTCGAGTCAGGTCATGCTACCCATGCCGGCTGGCGTCGAAAATATTTATCACGCGGAAACTAGATTAAAAGAAAGGTAAAAAATACGTTTATGTGACAGAAATAGCGAAATAATGGTGACGACTTCACAAAGTCTTACTGAAGTTTGTTTCATTATTTCAACTATGTACTATATATGAAGAGAATAATTTTAGTGTAAAATTGTATTTTTGTAGCGACGGTGAAGATGTCGATTTATACCTAAAGACCAACATCGAAGGCGCTGTCATAAAATGGGCACAACAAGTTCATGATTTGCTCAAGGAAGACTCTTATATGGGTGATTTATTGATCTATTCATTAATTATGGATATTTTTGCATTTGTATTTGAATACTAATATTTTTTTGCTCAAACAATACCTATAGCCTTTAAGAGAACAAGATTCCCATTACCAACCGCCGATATAGAGTTCTATAGTACCAGACTCCGCAACCTTGAGGGCATATATTCTCAACTAAGGGATCCTCGCGTCAAGAGAATGGCCAATTATCTGGAGGAGACCCAAAGCGTTTATCTCAATTGCTTCAAGTCTATGCTAACTAATGTGGTAGCCGGTGAGTCTTTGACAGTTTGATGTATTTAAATAATTTATTTGTATTTGTTATAAAAAAGAATATAATATTCCTAAATGGCCTAAAAGTACATGTTATTATCCGCAACATGCTTCGTCAAAAAGTACAATACTTACTTTCAGCTACAAGAGTCGTCATGAGTAACATATAGGTCCACGCTAACAGCAATGCGGACGTAGGCATCGGCTAGTCAAACAAGCCACTCTGGATCGTACCCGGCCCGAAAGTATTTGATGTATTTTGTCATAAATGAGCACACGAGCTCGCGTTCCATCTGGAGTTCACGCTCCGATTTGAACAACAATGTAGAAGTCTCGATTCCATTAGGATAACGACTATTGTAACTTTGAAAGCGAAACTATTGACTGCTTTACGGCAAATATCGGTCGATGTCGAACAGTGGAATTGGCCTATAGTTCATAATATGAACGATTAAAATTCAATGAAATTTCAAAAGTG